CTCCATGCCCAGAAACTTCACCGGTCCATCGCTGATCTCCTCAGGGCCTGAGGTCTTCCAGGTTTTCTCAAAGGTGGACCTGATGGCATCTTTGATCCTTTTGGGTCCAGTGATCAGGATGTCATCGACATATGTCATCACCAGGGCTTGAGGCGCAGCCTCGTGTCATCTTCTTCTCCTGAAATCTTGATCTCGAATCCTTCCATCGTTCTATCTCTGTGATCTGCCCATAGCCTTGGAGACCTCCAGAAGCCATACACTGCCTTCTGTGGGAGGTAGTAGGTGTCCTTGGGCATGAACTTTCGCTCAACAAAGAACGTGGGTGGAAGGACGAGCATCAAATGTTCATCTTCTTTCGAGACCATGTCAGCATTCAAGAAAGCAGTTTTCACGTCAATGCCGACTGCTTCCCATTGGAAAAGAGCTGACAACAGCACCAAAATTCTCAGGGCCGACGCATCACCTCCTGAGTAGTTCATCTCATCAGCCTGGCGGTCCTCATAGTTTCCGCACACCACCCACCTGACCTTCCTCTTTGGAGGTTTTCTGGCTTTCTTTGTAAAGACGAGCTTCGAGGGATGAGTTCGACTTTCAGCCCCTTCTCCTTGGCCATCTTCATAAATTCGTCCACTTGGTTGACATCCAACTGGATGAGGGCCATCTTTTTGGTAAGAAGCAAGTGGACCTCGTCCCCAGCCGGGGCTTTCCACTTCTCCCACTCCTTGGCCACCTCCTTTGGGGAGATGATCTTGGTTTGGAGCACTTCTTCATCATCCTCCGGGCCTCCTTCATCCATCATCTTTCGAAGTCTTGCGATGATGAGGACCGAACACATGGCCAGCTCCGGGTCGTCCTGTGGGAGTGTCATCATCTCCTCTTCCAAGACTTTCTTCATCCTTGACCTTTCAAGTCTTCGCTTCTCCTCTTCATCTTCAGCAAGCTTCTGAATCCTTTTGATGGTGGTCTTCTCTCTTAGCCTCCCCTCCGCAGTGTGAGACCATCCAAAACATCTCTTTCGAGGGCGATCCAGTGAGCCTCCGAAGGCCGTTGATCCAGCTTCTTCATGACATACCTTGTGAGTCTTGGAGCTTCTCCTGCCTTCATCACCCAGTGCCCATGGTTTTCTGTCGACGGCCCCAAATACATCACTTCTTCCATTGTGGGACTGAGGTCGTCTTTCTGCCACCTTCTCTTGCGGACCATCACCTTCTGCATGAATGGCGGAAAGTCTGGGACCTCGTAGTTCCTGTGGCGCCTCAGAATCTCATTCACATATCGACAGGCCCATGGCCACCACTTGTGATCTCTTTCACCTTGAAGCAGGGTCTTTCGGATCATCGTCTTGACCCTTTTGACTGCTGACTCAGCCCTTCCATTGCTTTGTGGCTCTCGTCACCTGCAGTTCGAGTCAGAATGATTCCCCTCCTCCTGCACCAAGCCGTGAAGTGTCCTGAGAACTCGTGGCCTTGGTCGGTGTGGATGTGATTCACCCAATAGCCATCAATCCTCAGCCGAAGAATCATCTCCATTGTGGTCTTAGTGACTTCGAGTGCTTTCTTGGAGAGCATGGGCAACGCCAGATGGAATGTCCGGATTTTGAAGTCTTCTTGACGTTCTTCTCCTTCTCTTTCACCTCCCCCTGGTTCCACGTCACCCTCCTCCTGTTCCATCTCCTCTTCATTTTCTGCTTCTTCTTCTTCCTCCAGGTCGCGTCCTTCTTCATGCCCGGCTTCTTCTTCCATCTCCTCGGCTTCAATCATCGGGAGATCTTCTTCTTCTCCTTCTCCTTGTTCTTGGGCCTCGACATTTGGGACATTGGCTCCCTTCGGAACGGCCCAAGTCAGCGCCCCGACCAAGAAGTATCGCGAGAGATGTCCACCTTGATCGTATGCAGGTTTCAGAGGACCTGCCGTGTCGACTGAGAGAACTCCGGCTCGAGGGTTCTGAACTCTTCGATGAGGTCGGCACTGTTGGAGGGTCTCCTGACAGATCCAGCAATCCTTTCGAGATGGGACATGTCCAAAGGCTATATGTTCTTCCCAAGGTCTGCTCTCCTTTGTTCATCCTCATGAGCCTGAAAGCCTTCTGCTTGAGGGAGTTGAGCTGTCTTTGAAGCCGCTCCACGACCTCCTGCCTTTCATCCCCTTCGGCTGCTGTTGGTGAGGAATGTGAGGATGATGGAGATGAGTTCAATGACTTCAGCACCTTGTTCGCTTCCTCCAAGAGGTCTTTCATGCTGGGCTGCGACTGACTTCCTGCATCTTCATCTTCCTTCACTTCATCCTTGGTGTCCTTAGTCTTCTCAACCTTGGACAGTTTTGACTTATTGCCGCCTTCTTTTCCCTCCTTCGGTCGGCTGCATGCCGGGGCCATTTCATCTTTCTGGTCATGCGAAAAGGTGCACTGCTTACCGGCATCGGTCAGGTAGAAGCGGCATCGTCCCTTCTCCTTCCCTTCCCCTTCTCGCACTTCCTTCGTCTTGGTTTCCTTTCCTTGTTCTTCAAACTTCTTGATCTTCGGGGCTTCAGGCATAGCTTCCTTCTTTCGAGCTTGATGTCCCATGGTCTCAAGCTTTGCGAGAAGGTGATGTGAGTATTTGGTCACCGAATCCTGAGATGGAATGGTGTCCACCATGAGCTGATTGCGGGTCAGCTGGAGCCTGAAGTTCAGATCTGCATGAATGCCGCTCAAGCCCTTCACCAAAATTGTGGCATCTGGGATTGACACGCCCAGTTCTTCAGCGCGGCGCTTCCACCTGAGCCATCGCCGCAGCGTGAGCGATTGTGCCAGCTTCAGGTGGGCTTTCCAATGCCGCCAAAATAGCGGACTTTTCAGCTAAGCCGCCTGGTTGGTATTGGGTCATCCCTTTTGTCAGAATGCCCAATGTGGTGAGGCTCCGACTGGATACAACTTCTCGAAGTCCTTCAGGTAAGGCGGCCAACAAAAGTGACGATGCTCGCCGCTCGAGTCTTGACCACTTCTTCAACTGCAAGCTAGGTGGCACTTCAGGATGATGTTGGAGTCGATCCAAGGGAGTCTTTCCCATGTGGTCGGTGTACCACTTGCGAGCAGCTGCAACCATTGCCTGCCACCATTCTTCTGAACTGCTGCTCAAGTCCCCCATCATGGGCTGAATGACCAAGAGCCAATCTGAGAAATCGATTGGGCCGGTCTCAGGGGACCATTCTGGCAGCTTCGGCAACTCAACGCCTCGTTGAACAAGTTCTGGAGAGCCATCATCGCCTCCATGATCATCTTTGGCACGGCCTTTGACCAACTTCTTTTGAAGATCTTGCATGCCTTGGAGTAACTTCAGAACGACATCCACTGTTTGTGGAGGTATTCCATCTCCACCTTGAGACTCTTTCTTTCGGCCTCCGGTTCCCTTGCCGGTGTGACCTGGTCGATCATCATCATGAACTTCCTCGTTCAACCCTCCGTGATGTGCTTGTCCAGGATCCTCCTCACGAGCTGAACTGCCGTTTGGGGTTGCGAACAGCACTTCATCTTCTTTCTGGTCTCGAGCGACCAACCGTTGGATGTTGTCTTTGAGCAACCGGTTTTCATCGAGGATTGCTTGGATTTGGCGACTCCTCAACTCTTCTTGTTCTTCTTTCTTTCTTTCCACGGCCATCACTCCAATGGCCTGGTCTTTCAACCTTCTATTCTCCATGATGAGGTATTGCAGCTGTCGGGACATCTCTTCTCGCTCAGTCCTTACCAGCCTTGCTCTTTCCTCCAAGCCCCTTCGCTCTTCTTCACCAGCTTCTTCCAACCTCAGTCTTCGGAGGCCTTCCCTTTCTTCATGCTCGAGGGGTGGTCTTGTGACTGTCATCGGTGTCTGGAATGCTGGATGCAGGAGTGGAGCCTGTTGGTACATCATGCGAAAGCCTTGCAATTGCTCCGGTGTGAACAGTGGGAGCTGGTGTTTTGGTGGTGTTGACATCGAAACCACAACAGGGCCTGTCGGTCCAGCTTGCTCTTCGGCTTCAATCTCTAAAACACTTCTACCCTTTCCACCTTTCCCTTCAACTTTCATCGAATCCCGCCCGAGTCCTTGATGTTCAGGCGTCTTCACTTCCGCTTCCACTCCATCTGGACCTGGGTCTCCAGGCTTCTTTGGAGTGATGGTGGCTGGTGCTTGTAGCGGAGTCCGTGCTGCGTGCGATGTCTTGGATGCACGTGTTGCCTCAGAAGTCCTAGCTCGGCTGTCTTCGGTGGTCTGGAGTGCAGTCGAGGGGGTTCCATGAGGTGCAGACTCTAAAGCCAGTGAACTTTCAGCGCCACCCCTGTCTTTCCCTTTGGTCTTTGGTTCACCCTCCTTCCCATCTTCTAACCATCTTCTAAAGGAAGCTCTGAACTCTCTTGACGCTCACGATCCAGCCTTCGTTGAGCTGTTTCCATTTCCCTTTGACCTTGGCGCAACTCATCTTGTGTCGCCTTGCGGCGTCGGTGTTGTTGAATGCCCTGCGTTCCCAAGCAATTAATGGATGCTTGGGCTCATAACCTGATGACAGGTCGACAGCGTATGGCTAACCCTCATAGGAAAAAACCGCTCGGCCGCAAACCCTTTTCCGATATGCTTGAGTCAAAAGGGCAGCTGTCGCTGCACACATGTGAACCGTTCTGGTGTCTTCTCGTTTTGAGCGCGTCATCCACACTTGCAAACTATATAGAGGGTCCTTGCTTCTCTTGAAACCAGGGCCTGATCAACTCTTGACCCTGGAACATTGGAATCAGTTTTTTGATGACAACTTTGTCATTCATTCTGTAACTGCAGCCAGGTCTTGATCGCAGCCTTTTGCCTGGAACCTTGGAACCACACTACTCCGATCGCAACTCTTTAGCCCGACTTGTTGTGCATTTGGGATCCGTTTGGTGGTTGCAAAAGACTCATAAGTATGCGTCGCGTTTACACTGGGCTCTGCGTGGCAAGAGATTGAGCGTAGATCATTCATCAATTGTTAGGTGCGCTGGCTACAGAGAGTTGTGATGAATGGAGCTTGGCTCAAGTGAAGAGTTCTCAAGCTGTCACAATCTGAGATAGTGCACGTCTGTCGTCCACATGTTGCGCATGATTCCAGCTCTTGGAGCATTGGCGCCAGTGGTGTGGCGAGTGAAGTATTCCAAGTGCGAACGGAGCAGCCAAGATTCCAATCCCCACTCGCGGTGGCCCTGGTTCTTCGGAGGCAGTTGGACATGGAGCCAAAAGCTGCAAGGCAAGGGAAAACAGATGCAGAATCAAAAGGAGCTCCATTCGAGTATTGTCAACCAACTGGTTGAGGAAATCCATCAACTGAAGATCGACAATGCAAGAAAGGATGTGGATCTCACGAGTGCGACAAAGACAAACGAGGCTTGGGAAAAGAAATTTCAGGAGGCAGAGAACAAGAACACCAAACTTCAATCAAAGGTCAGACTTGGAGAAGATCGCATAAGCAAGGCTTTGAAAGGTGGAAGGACTCGACTAGCACAAATTCGGTTGGCATTCAAAGAGGCGGCTCCGACAATCTCGGACCTAGATGCTCATGTTTTGGCAATTGGTATTGATTTGCACGAGTACTTCGAGAAGCCAGACAGCCTCTATTGCGAACAAGATGGAGCAGAGTTGAGGGTCCACTTTCGGCGGGGTCACATTGACGGTGGCTGGCAAACTCGTTATGCTTGCATGATGGAACTTCCTGAATGTGAGCAGAAACGGCTTCTGCAGGTAGTTCAAGATCAGATCAAAAAGCAGCAAGAACTGTTTCCAACCAGACTGGTCGTGAAGAAGACCTTCGAGTTGCACCTTTCAAAGTGCTTTGATGGAGTTTCAGATTTGGAATCGCAGGATCCATCAACGACAGAGAAGTTGATCAAAGCACATTGCAGGAAGTTTGAACAGCAGCTGGAACAGGCCTTTTCTGATTTAAAGGAGAAAAACATCGATGTCGAGGCAGTTTTGCTAGACTCCTGGCAGCCCTTGCATATGCTTTATTGCCTTGCGCAGTATGACAAGCTGGCCAGGAAGTTGCCTGAAGTCCAGAAACAGGTCCTGCCGCAGAAGTCCTCGCAGGAGGTTGTCCTTCGCCTGTTTGACATGTACAAGAACTCTGAGACTGCAGAGTTTTAATTGTGATACAGTGGGTGATGTGTGCAGGTCTTGTCTTGGATGTGGAGGTTTGCAGGTACACTTTGATTATAAACATCAACATTAGTAGAATAGTCGACAAGGCAATCACAGAACTCACCATAAGTAGCCATAGTATGGCATAGCCCTGAATGGGCAGTAGCGCCCTTTGACCGCCGCAAAAGGAGGATTCCTGCTTTTTCCAAGGTAGATCATAAATTAGGATGCTTGAGTCTCAAGCTGGAAGCTTGACACCGTTTACCTTCCAGAAGGCTATGTCAACAGTCTTGACATGTGGGGGGTGCACGCAAGAGCTTGAATTGAATGATGTTGAAGGTTGCATTTCCGTTGGACCTCTTTGAGTTTCTCAAGAGGCCCCACTGGGTCCAAGAGTTGGTCCAACGAGCTACGAAGGACGAAGATTCGCCGAGCGGTTTCTGTTTGACCGCCTGGAATTCGCCGTTGCTCACGCGTCGCAGCTCACCATCAGCGGATCAAGATGGAACTGACTCAAGCAATGCTTTCTTTCTTGAGAACATATACGTACTACATACACATAGGTGAGAATCTGCAGCTGAAAGAGAAGAAAAAGAGAAGGTGAGAATATCCGTTCTGAGGATGAGATCCTGCATGCAGTACTCTGTGAATTGACAACGGTGCAGCCTTTGCGAGAAGTTGGTTCAGGAAGGAGCTTCACTTGGTTTTCCCAAGTTCACCTGGAATGAAAAGAATCACAGCCAGTGTCAAGCCAATGTCAAATGCCTTCGCGGCTGAAACACCATCCAATAATGTCATATGCTTGGCGACAAGCCCCACAAAAGCAGCAACAGGGTCATGTCATGGGTGTCAAATGGGTGTCCCAAAACAGGAAATCCCAAACAGAATGAGCATCCACGAACAGCAACTGCTTGGGGCTTGGCGCCCCCACCTCCTCTGTCACCCCCAAACCGCCATGAAAACCACCAAATCGATTTGAAGCGAAGCGCCGCGTACCCGGCCGCTCGCTGCGCGGTGCCACCGCACGGTCGCCGATGACCGGTCCATGACGGGCGCCCTGTGGGCGCTGCTCTTGGGGTGGCTGGGCCATGGTGGAGCCTGGCGATCGGAGTGCAGCATCGAGGGCATGGAGGTGCAGGCCCACCCGAACGCATTGAGACACCTTGGGGCGATTCGGGGGGTGGGATGAAGGGGTAATATATTGCTAGTAGGTGGTAACCAGGTGGTAACCAGGTGGTAGCTGGTGGAGGTTTTGATGTCTGAAGCTTTTTGAAGATCCCTCGAATTCCTTGACAGAATGAGACGGGGGATTTCTCAAACAGTGATCTCAGTGATAAGGCTATTCTTTAGTCGCTTCCATCGCACACCTCTGGTGTGATTGAACCGTCGCAAGCAAATTTCAACATAGCCTTTCAGAAATCATCACCACTGCCTAACACCGACCAGGTTGTCTCTTCCACATATCGTTCTGCAAGGACATAGTTTCACATAGTTTCACATCTCAAGATCTCACACCCTACGATTTTGACACTTCTTAATTCATTACATTCACAAAGAGGCTGCAACATTTGTTCAAACCCTTCAAAGGCTCTGTTTTTGAATCCTGCCTTCTGCCAGGAAATTTTCGCCGTTTTCCAGGTATTTCCGCCTTTTTTCCTGGGCATATTTGCGCCAGGTGTTTCAACTTTGGACTAGTTTTACTCCGTATGCGCTCATACCGCACAAGAAACCTTCAAGAACATATATGATATGATGGTGGCCAATTTTACAGGTGGGGGTGGAAACTTAAGTGTCGCCATTCTATATTTCTTAATGGAGGGACCGTTCCAGTGAGAAATGTCCAATGTAAACCACAGAAAATATTCAACTCCTCTAGAATTTACAGTCTTTGTCTGACTAGATTCCTGAAGGGGAAAATTCGCGGCAATAAAAACATGTCCGCGGCAAACAGTTCCAGGACGGGAAGAGCCGCTCTTCCCGAAAAAGGCAAGAATTTCTGCCGAAAGGATCTTCTAGGTATACCCATAATGCTGGACACTAAACGCCAGAAATGGTACTGTTTGGAAATCAAAATGCACTCCCTGAAATATCATGGAAGCGGAAGATGTCCCTTGGGGCGACCATTTTCCTCTACTATATAATAGGGGGAGTAATAGGTGGTTTTCCACTTCCATGATTACTTCAATAAGTCACGAAATACAATACACATCCCTTGTTCAATACACCTCCCTTGTTGACTTAGAGAGATTCCAGGACATGCAATAGCCCAGGTAGTCCAGATGCAACTCAAATCGGTCTCTGCGTGTTCCGACTTGCCATAGCAACTGAGACACCCTGAGCATGATTTGACCAACACCTACCCAGTAACATTTTCAGGGACCCACCGCGAACCCACCTTTCTGAAACGGGCTTTGCTTCTCCACCACGGTAAGTCCGGGCGGGACAATTTTTTGGTTTTCACGCTTCTCAATACATATTGAAGAGATCACCACAAACAAACTTGGCTTAGCCCTGATACTTGGAGGTGTATGTGCAGCTTGCGGGACTCTGAAAACCAACAGACATGTGTCAATTTCCTTGTGTTGTTGGTCTGACGCCATGTAGCACTGAAGCCTGTCTACCGGGGAGCCTGTCTACCTCCCTGTTGGGAGGTTCACCGACCTTCCCTGACCCGTCTCCGAGCCGTTCCGAGCCGGAGGTGGGCGTCGGTGGATTGGGGGAAGCTCGCGAGGAGGTGCGATGCGATGCGATTCGACGACGCGCGGCGCGCGTGCTACGGCCCTGCCGACGGTGGTTGGAAAAGGCTGCTTCGTTGGATTCATGGAATTTCATCGATTTGTCCAGGGTTCTAGAAAGAGACACTTGAGATAATAACATTAAACAAAACACTGCAAAGGAAAAAAACCATCAAAGAAGGTCGTGAAGTAGCTTTGATGTAGCTGGTGAAAAGGCATTCCACTAGATCAAGGCTCCCTGCTGAAAAAATAAGTCAGATTAGAAAGTTGTCCTTTGATGGAGTCTTAGGCACTTTCTGGCTAAAAGCTCGGTTGTTGCAGCTATTTTGCTAAAGGACGACCTTGAGACAGTGTGCGACCCTATTCCACTCAGCAGCAGCACAATGGTGTTCTTGCTGAAATCCATCGCACTCCTTGCGCAGTTCAGCCTTTCGTGGTCTTTGGCACCAGGAGATTGTGCTTTCGTTGGCATCTATGGTGAGAAGAAGGATTTCGCCATCCTTTTGATGGAGGATGCAGATGGCGAGCAAATCTCGTTGACAGACGGGAATTTCAAGGACAAGGACTTTGAATCCAGCCAGCGAGCCCGAGCACAGGATCACGTGAAAGATGCTGTCAAGGGAACTGTGTTGAGGAAGTCGGACTTCCAGACGGACAATGGTTGGTCCTTCGTGGCTCCTTTGGCCCTCACGGTTTACAAGGGAAGCCCATCATCTCCCACTCCCCTGTGTGGAGTCAGCTTGGATGGGAAGGCAGACAAGGTGATGGTTCGCAGGCTGCATGATCAGGTTGCCGCCCTGAATCTTGGTGAAACCGGGACTCAGCACCTCATGAACTGGCTCGAGATGATGGAGTTCGCAAACTCTCGGGTATTACCACAACCACCACAACCACCACAACCACCACCACGACCACAACCACCACGACGACAACGACAATGACAACGACAACCACAACGACAACGACAACGACAACCACAACGACAACGACAACCACA